ATAAATTTGGTGGTGACTCCAATTCTAGCTCCTGTTCCAGATGTGGTTTAATTGCTTGATCAAATGGATATTTCTCCTGGGACCTGGTGTGCAGTTATTGATCTGGCCAATGCCCCCCCCCCCTCTGGTTCCAAAGGGCCACCAGAAACAGTCTGCCTTTAGCTAAGAAGGCCAGCAGTACTCCTTCACAACCTTGCCCCTCAGTAGCATGTCTGCTCTTGAATTCTACATTCTCATTTAGTTTGCAGGGACCTTGATCGCCTTTCTTTTCTTTGACATGTCACACTGGTCCCTGACATTGAGGACGTTATGTTAATCGGACATAGGAAGAAAGAAGAATCAAGGACTCTAGACTTAATGGTAGGACGTTTATGTGGGACATGAACCTGACAAATATTCAAGTGCCTTCCACCTCAGTGAAATTTCTAGGGGCACAGTGCTGTGGAACATGTTTAGATATTCCAGTTCTCAAAGTGAAGGGTAACTTGTTGCATCTGATCCCTCCCACACTAAAAAGGTGCCTGGTGGGCCTCTTTTGGATTTTAGAGGCAATGCATCCTAAATTTGGATGTACGCCTGTGGCCTATTTATCAAGTGATACAAATAGCTGCCAGCTTTGAGTGGGGCCCAGAACAAGAGAAGGCCCTGCCATAGGTTCAGGCTGCTGTGCGAACCACGCCCCTCGGGGGCTCTGTGATCCACCTGCTGCATCCAGAGGTGCTCGGAAGGGGCAGGTAGAGATGCTAGGTGGAGTCTTTGGCAGGCCACGACTGGTAAGCCACAGTGCAGAACTTCCGGGTTTCAGAGCACAATTTTGCCATCTAATTTGCAGGTAACTACTTTCCTTTCGGAGAACCAGCTTTTGGCTTGTTGCTGGGTCTTGTAGAGAGACACTGCTGAACCAGGGGTCGCTATGTGCAGCCTGGGTTCCCTATCATTAGCTTGGTGGTGTCTGACCAACAGGGATATAAAGTCAGACTTGCAAAGCAGTAGTCCTGAATCATTGGATAGAAATGGTACGTATGAGATCAGGCTGAAGCAAGAGTCAACGGCACAGGTAAATTCCTTGAAGTGGACAAAATGCCCATGTTCTCTACACCTGTCACCTTCCCTTCCCTCTCTGCGTCTGCTCTGCACCTATAGACTCTCAGGGAGTCCTTTTGTGATCAGTTGTCTGAGGAAGAGAAAACTTGTGTTTGGTTTACAGTACAGATCTGTGCAATATTCAGCCTCCACGCAGAAACGGATGGTGGCAGTGCTGCAGCCTCTTGCTGGGACCTCCCTGGAAGGCAGCAGACACAGCGTTTAGCAGTGCACGTGGGGTTTATTTTGTTTGGAAGGAGAGTTGGTCAGATATTCAATTCTATAGGCTGTGGTCAATGGTTTGGATGGGTGGTCAAGAGATTCGGAAGGAACGTGATTGGAAAATTAGTGCTCAGAAGGTGTGGGGAAAGACTTGTGACAGGCCCCACTGAATGGGTCAATATGTGGAGATATTTGTATCTCATGGGAATGCTGACCAAAGGAGGATTTTAACAGGTGCATGGGATGACGTGTTCTGTGCATTTCTCTGGCTACAAAGTATAACCACCGTTTCCTTTTCACTGGAGAATAAGCCTAAAGAGGAAAAAAATGTTTTTTTTTTTCAATGCAAATTCCCTTTGGTACCAAATGGCTTTTTCTCCAACCATGAACTCTGCCGATCTTGACCAGCATAACTGTGTTTTTGTCGGGCAGACCTTTGGAGTTAGCATTTCAGGAGAGGCTGTGGGTTCTGCAACTTATCTGGAAGCAGAACGAACAAGGGGCTGTGTGTAGCACATGCTCTTGGGGAGGGGGGTGCCACAAAATACACATACCTTTCATCATACGAATGACTAGGGAATAATCGTCTTGGCCTCATGTATGTGCCATTTATGTAAAACAAAAAGCACACACCCACAATTGAAAAAATGGGGTGCTGAAATGATTGTTTTTACATACTTTAAAAATCTCTTTTTTGGTCTATAGGAAACTGGCTAAGAAATCTTTGACCTCAGTTGAGAAAAGATGGGAGGGTGTCAACTCCAAGTTTGAGATCTCTTGGACCAAATTAGCAAGGAAAGCAAAAAAAGATGCAACAAGATTCCCCCTCAGTCACTTGCCATGTGCTGCCCTGGCGGTTAGAGCTCTATTTATAGACTATTCTCTAAGTGCAAGTGAATGCTTGGCTCTTTGGATTATGGTGCAAGGGTCCGGATGAATCCTCATGCCTTGACCTTCAGGAGCATGTTTAGGGTATTCGTTCTTGATCAATTTTTATCTGTCACTTCTCTGTTTAACTCTATTGAGTTGACCAATGACTGAAGTTTCATCTTTGACATATTAATACATTTCCTCTTCCCCCCATCCCTTCAAGGGTGCTTAAGTTCCTCCAACACTGACTGCAGTCAAGTTGATCTCAACTCACAGCGCCCGTATGGGACAGAGTAGAACTGTCTAGATGGGTTCCCAGGCTGTAAATCTTTATCGGAGCAGAAAGTAGCAGTCCACCATGTAATCCACTATGCTACCAGGGCTCCTGGCTTGCATCCGGGTTGTGATTATTTACAAAGCCTTCCCTTCCCATCCCATTCAAATCAGTCAATTTAAACTTCTTTAGCTTCTAGAATTTTAATCTTCTAAATACTGTTTTCATCACCTCGGTTCTAAACTAGAAAAATAGCCATTGGGGACCTCTGGTGGGCTGAGTTTAAAAGTTCATGTGTAGATTTTGAAATCTGATGTTAATTTTGAACATGTAAAAAAAAGTATAAAGAAAAATAAACAAATCAAAACACACGTCTTGGTTTATTTCATTCAACTCCTTTGTGCACATTTAAGCCAAAAGGGAATTGATTTTCCAGTTCTCAAATTCTATCAAATCTCATAACTTTTGCATGAAGCTTCTTAACTGGTTAAGTGACACCGTGGACTGATCCATCTCCACAGTGATTCCCAAGTCTCATTCTGCTTCTTTCTGCTGCTGGCAATTCTGGTTCTGAGTGCTTTCCGCCTCATAGGGCCTTATTTGCTGTGAGAACAATGTTGTCATTTCGCTAGGCGTCATCAAGTTCTGAACTCCTATTGGTCCTCTGCACAAGAGAAGAAGCATTCTCTGGTGTCAGCTCCAACTTCCCAACTGTTCTGTGTCAGCCCAGCGCTGCAGCCACGGTGTCATTCCATCTGTGGGGACCTTACCTATTTTCACGGCCTCTTCTTTACCAAGAGTGATGTCCTCCTTCAGGGCCTGGTCTCTTGAAAACTTGTCTAAAGTACACAAGATGAAGTCTCCCCATCTTCACTTCTGAGGAGCAATCTGACGGTGCTTTGCCCTAGACAGGTTTTTCTTTCCTTTTTCTTTTGGCATGCCATGGTACTTGAAATATCAAAAGCAATATTCTTCTGCAGCACATCGATTCTTCTTGGGTCTTATTTCATGCCCAACTCTCACATGCATATGAGGGTCGGGCACGCTTTGGTCCTCAAGTAATATCCCTGCTTTTCAACACTTTGAAGAGGTCTTGTGCAGCAGGTTTACTCAAAGCAATGGGTCGTTTGATCTCTTGGCTGCTGCTTCCATGAGCATTGATTGTGAAGCCAAGCGGGTGCAATTCTTGACCACTTCAATCTTTTCTCCTCTACCATGATACTACTTATTGGTCCAGTTGTGAGGATGTTGGTTTTGTTTACATTGAGTTCTAATCCATACCCGAGGCTGCAACCAAAAAGCACTTATGCATGTGGACTTCTCCAGAGAGAATACACAGAAGTCAAATTGAATATGAGACCAATAGTTATCTTTATTTCAGCTCTGTGTTTGAGTCTTTACAGGTGTTATATCATTCTCACAACAACCCCAGGAGACAGGAACTACGAGCCTCATTTTACAGGCAATGAAACAGTCCTGGAGGGGTTAAATCCAGAGAGTCTTGACTTCATACCCTGTACTCTTGACCTCATGTTTTATGGTGTTATCAAGAAGTGCTTAATTGGGGATACTTGGAGGTGCGAGGGGTTTAAAGGAAAAACTGACACATGGTGTGACAGAGTGACCTGCTCCATCGAGGTTTGTTGTTGTCGCTGTAGTCTCTCTGGAAGCAGATTGCCTGTCTGCTTACCCTGTGGCTGGCTCTGCTGTGTGGGTTCAGACTGCTGTTGTTGTCTCTGTAGTCACTCTGGAAGCAGATTGCCTGTCTGCTTACCCTGTGGCTGGCTCTGCTGTGTGGGTTCAGACTGCTGTTGTTGTCGCTGTAGTCTCTCTGGAAGCAGATTGCCTGTCTGCTTACCCTGTGGCTGGCTATGCTGTGTGGGTTCAGACTGCCAACCTAGTGCAAACCACTTTCACCACTCAGGTCCTGAAAGGATTTCACTCAAACTCACTGTGTCTGACTAGTACCGACCAGATAAGGCATGATGGAACTGCCTCTGTGGGTTTCTGAGATTGTAGCTCCCCCCCACCAACAGTTTTATTGGCACATCATTTACGTATCATACACAGATTGTAAGATGGGAGTGCAAAGCCTCCTTTTTCTCCTGTTGAGCTTCAGGTGGTTTCAAACTGCCGACCTTGCAGTTAGCAGCCACGCGAGTGACCCACTTTGCAGTTACACTAACTCACTGTCATCGAGTCAATTCTGACCCATAGCTACTATATAGGGAAGGGGAGACTATCCCTGCACATTTCCATGACTGGAACTTAATGGGAGTAGAAATCCCTGGAGATACACTAGTTGGATATTAGAGTAAATCAGTAAGTATATTTGAGTCTTGGAATGTTGCTCTATCAGTTAGAGTTCACCTAGAGTTTCTCCTTAATCAAATAGCACCCCCAGTCTAATTTTTAATTCCACATTTGATAAACCAAACTCAATGCCCTCAAGTAGAGACGCTAACTCTTAGGAATCCTCTACAGGTGAAGTGTAAGCATTTAAAACTGTATCTGCGAATGGTTTAAATGAGTGCCTTTTGTTTCTGAACAGTGGGCTACATTACGAATTCAGAAAGGAGTCCCAGAGGAGTCAAGTCTTAAAAGCTCCGCTTCTGTTGGTAAGTCATCCTATTCATTATCATTGTTAAAATATTCAAATTGGATAGAGTTGCAACCAATTTAAATTCAAAATAGGTGGAGGCAATGCCGTCAGTAGGCTTAGGATCACTCATACCTCTTTTCTCTGTGCAAAAATAGCAATTGCCTGAGTTTTATTGACTTTCTCTTGCTAGTGGGCTAATGCGATTTTAGAGGTCTTGTTTTCCTTACTGAGGCCTTGTATCTAAAAGTGGCTGCTCTTGGTTTTAAAGCTGTAGTTAAAGTGAGGTGACCAGATTTTAACATTGGTAAAGCGGGACACCATTGACTGGGGGTCGGGGTTCTTGATGAAAAATTTGGTCTGTAGGGAGGAAATAGACCATTCCTACCTTGTTGCGCATTCTTTTAAAAAATCGGGACTTTTTAAAAATGCCGCGGGACGTTTTAAAGCGGGACTGTCCCGTCAAAAGCGGACGTCTGGTCACCTTAAGTTAAAGCATAAAAAAATAAAGAAAAATAAGGTTAATTGGACCTCTGGGACTTACAAACTTATTATTGAGGTGTCTATCAGTGACACCTTCTTCTAACAGGGGCTTCTCAAAGTATGCTCTTCAAAACACTCTCTCCTGCTGAGTGTTAATGGTAGCCCACAAAATACATTGGAAGTAAATTGGGAATCACCACAGACCACCACACATTCCTTTTGGAGAGTCATATTGCATAAATAATAAATATTGGGGAAATACTGAAATAAAGGAAAGCACTTAGTTTTATTTTAGTTCAATGTTTCTCAAACGGAGTTGAGCATTGTACTATCTCCCCTGTATGACACAGGTTATCTTCTGGGCAGAAGCGAGCTAGCAAATAAACCGAACTAATCCATCCCACCTCCCTTTATGTCTAAATGAAGCTTTCCCCTTGGAATGGGGTGGCTTTCTGCTGCACTTGGAGAAGCAATGAGTTGTTAACAGTGACCTCGGGTGAAATTCTCTGAGGCCCTGTGGATTAGAGTGGTGGTGGTGCATGTTTTGGGTCATGAATTTAAAAGGACACACATCCCACTGCTTCTGCCTTTGAGTTGATTCAAACTGATTGCTACCCTACAGGACCTGGTAGAACTGCTCCTCAGGGTTCCTGGGACTGTAAATGTTTATGGGGTTACACAAATTCATCTTTTTTCCATGGATGTGCTGGTGGTTTTGAACTGGCAATTGGCACCCCACCGTTTAACCAGCAGGGCTCCTTTAAGAAGGGACTCAGATTGATTCAATTTGGTAGGTTAAGAGGATTAAAAGCTCACCAGAGTGGATATACACTTAATTATTTTCTTTAGCTTGGATGGAAATGAGGATTTTATGGCTCCTCTTATCTGTTGGAGGAGCGCTGGTGGCATAGTGGATTACATGTTGGGCTGCTAAACTCAAGATGAGCAGTTCAAACCCACTAGTGGCTCCAAAGGACAAAGATGAGGCTTTCAGCTCTTAAAAAAGATTTTTAACCTCAGACACCCAAAAGAGGCTGTTCCACTTTGTCTCATAGGATCAATGTGTGTCAGAATTTTGACGGGAGTGAGTTGAGTTTGATGTTTGGTTCTGTTTGTTTGAGTTTACTTCTCTTTTTAAAAATTGTATTGTTCTTATAAGATTTGTAAGAGCCCTCCAATAAAATGATTGTATTGTTGCAAAACTGATGATCATATCTTTAAACCTTTAGGTAACACACAATGAGAAGCTTAATTTTTTTTTTATTGCTGTAAAATATACATAGCAAAACATTTGGCATCTCAACCATTTATAAGTATACAATTTGGTAACATTAGTTATGTTTATCCTGTGGTCCAAATCACCATGACGATCTGTTTCTAAAAGTTTTGTCATCACCTCAAATAGGAACCCAGTATCCCTTAATGTTGGCTTGTCTGTTTGGGGCAACATTCATCTTCCTTGTCTAGTTCTGTTCTTTTCCCTGGTTCTTCCAGAAGACAGTGGAAGGGAAGGAGAAAAGCGAAATCATAATGGCTCCGAGTAAGGCTGGTGCCTTCCTGCATCACGCTTCATTCAGTGGCAGCTTACAGCTGTTTCTCAGCGTACTGCAGCAGGGGAGCACAGCTGGTTGACAGACTACTGGAGACTGGGAGTAGGAAATCAGGGTACTGACCACGCGGGTCTGTGTGGGAGCTCTGCTTACTAGCTGCTGGGGACAGGTGGCAGTCTTTCATGTTCCTGGCTTGCCATCAGTCCAACCTCTGCCTCTTTGGTCACAACTGTTTTCCCTGCATGTCTCTGCCGTTCTTATCATTCACATAAGCACAGGACCCATTCTACTCTAGTAAAGGAGCTCTGGTGGCACACTGGTTAAGCGCTTGACTGCATTGGAAAGGTTGGCAATTTGAACCTACCAGCGACTCAGCGGAAGAAAGATGTGGCAGTGTGCTTTTGTAAAAATCACTGTGCGACAGTTCTACACCATCCTACAAGGACCCTCTGATTCGAATCAGCAGGGCAACAGTCATATTCCGCCCCCCCCTTTGGCTACTCCAGTATGATCTCACATTCAATGACAATAACTTCAAAGACCCTGTTTCCAAATAAGGTCATGTTCCTCCGTGTTGGAGCAGGATTTCAATTTATCCTTTCGTGGGACACAATTTAATCCAAAACTGACTGTCTTTTAAAAATTTAACCTGTGGAATTGAGCACCCGTGATCATAGTTATTGAACATCTGATACATGTGACTTTGACATGGAATCCAAAGATGACTGTGGCGTGATTCCCGTGGGGAGACCGGCATTCAACAGGCCACAGGGACAAATGCTAAAAGCGGTGCATAAGCAAAGCACAATGCACGATCTAATTTAGGCTCTGAGCTAGCCGGCATTCATCTGTGGTCATCCCACAACTGTGCCTGGTATGCTCCTCTGCTGCCAGCCCGTCTCCAGGCTTGCATGGCCAGGAATTTCAGGGTGTGTGCTCTGTGATACACCTCTGTGTCCAGAGTCATTAGAGAGGCAGTGTCACAGTCCTAGAGACAGACAACAGAAGGTGATGAAATGCTTGGGGTGCTTGTGTGCTTGGCTGGTGCAATCGTTTGCTTTCATAGCATCATGTCTTTGGTCTGCAGCCAATGGTGGTACAAGTCACTGGTGAGCCAGTCACAGTGTCAGCAAGGGTTACAGTTTAGGCAAGGGTCTCCGAGTGTGGGTGCTTTCTTGATGCGTCGATAAATGATGCACTCTTGATCATAGGATTGGAGAGCTGACAATGAGATTAATTTGGGAAAAGTAATGATTTCATTTTTATTTTTGCACTCAAAAATTCATTCCTCTCTTCTTATATTTAGATAAATGTATTCTATTTTTTTCGATGTGATTTTTTTTTAATAAGCCACCTGGAAGTGGAACCCAGGGAAATACTATTTTATTAATAAACTACCCAATGCATATATTATGTGTATGCTTGTAAGTAGAAGCTGTATAAGAAGCTTCCTCTTCAGGGTTTAAGGATTTTTCCTTATTGTTAACATAAAGATGTATTAACAAACCTTTCTCCGTATTAAGCACATTAGCCTCTCAGTTTCTATAGAGTGGACTCTGTTCATGGCGACCTCATGAGAGTCAGAGTAGAAACGTGCTCCTTAGAGATTTCATTGGCAGATTTTGGGCAGTAAGTTGTCAGACCTTTGCTCTGAGATGCTCTTGGTGGGCTCGAGCCCCCTTTTGCTGAGCAGCCTGGCGCACCAATCACTTGCGTCACAGAGGAACTCCTTTCTGTTGAACATTGAGCCTCAGTGGAGAACATAGAGCTAACCCATTACTTGGGTTTTCCTTCCCAGGGAGAGAGCGAGCTTGAGTCTTAGCATCTGAGGGCGGATCCAGGAAGAGACTTCATTTCCTTGTTTCTTGGCATCAGCTGCTCTCCCACCTGTCCAGTGTTTTAGAGTACCAGAGAGACCCCAATCTCAAATATAACTTGAGAACATTAAGTCTTAAAAGAAACAAACACGACAGAAAGACACAGACACATCATCCTGGCGAGGGAGGCCATTAGCACAAGGTTAAAAGTGGCATTTGAGAATTCACAATTAAATAAGCCATGTAACCAAGGAAACTGTCACAAATTCATGGTTGGTGGTCGATCAATACATCATAGTTATAGGTGGGCCCTGTGGAGCAGGAATGGGACCATGATTGGGACCCCTACATTATGTGAGAGCATTTACAAGATTGGTCCAGGGTCTTCCCGCTGGGCAAGGGCAAGACTGATAGGGCATGACTCATGACCATGGGACCCCTGTACTATCCCTAGTCATGGACACACTCAGGCAAGCCCCTGAGAGAGACTGCCTCTCTGGGCTAACTGGAGAAGGGTGGAAGTCATCTACTTTCCAAGACACTCTGCCTGAAGGCAAGATTATCTACATCCTTGGTTAATGATCAGAAAGATTTTAATGTAGGCTTCATCTATGTGAGGATTTTGCAAGAGTAGATTTTGGGCTGCCACTGCCATCCATAACGCTTTGTGAACCAGGGTGCTCCGAATTTAAGCTCTAGCACACCAGGCATGGGACAAATGCATGCCCTCAGACCCTGTCCTTGAGGGTTGCTGTGAGTTGGAATTGACTCAATGGCAGTGAATTTTGAGAAATAGTACAAGGCTATTTGACTAGGACCAAAAAGCCCATCACACTTTTTGATAATGGACTGACTTCCAGGAGTTATTATGCCTAGCAGGATTGAATCAGTAATTTTTATATTTTCATTTTTTCAATGATGATGATGATTTTTGTGACTCAAGATTCATTCTATATTTGCATAATAATACTAGGACATTTTCAATGAGTACCAACCATTTGAAGAGCAAAACCCAAGCCTGGGTTGTTTCCCCTCCTAACTCCCTTGTAGGTGGAGCAGAGCCGAAGCATCCGGCTGGGTTTCCAAGGCTGTGAATCTTTACGGAAGCAGACTGCAGAATCTTGCTCTTTCATTCGAACCACAGAATGTTTGGCTGGCATCTGAGTACT